GCTGTGAAAGTATCGATCGCCAAATGGATATGGTCGAAACGTATCGAGATTCTTTTTATGTTTGTGTTGTTATATATATATATATATATACGAAAAACGCAATATGATGTGCTGGTATGGTGATTTGTCACCTATAGCCATCGAAATCGATATGGAATGACGAGGGTATATCTATATCTCGTACAATACATACACGACATGGGCTGGCTTAATATGTCTTTTGTCGATGCTTTAGTTATTTATTATTATTTGGTTGAGTCGAAATGATGTAGTTGTTTCTTGTCTAGTGTAGACAACACACACAACGCTATATATATATATATAGCGTTGTGTGTGCATTCTACATGCTTCGATATATATATATATATATCGAAGCAGGCACTTCATATATATGTATGTATAATGCATACAGATGGATCACGTCCTGTTCAAAATATTTGTTTCGGACATTTGAGACTTGTATGGGGAAGATATAGTCCCACTCTCTCAATCAGTTTTGCTCGAGTTTTGTGTATTATATATATATATATATATGAATGTATCTCATCACACTTTATTCTTCTTCTTGTCGTTCACCAATTGCATGTATGGATTTCTTTTTTCGACAAACCTGATGGATTATTGCGTCCGTCTGTTCCCTCTTGCTACTGGCGTCGCCAGTGTAAACCCCCTGAAATGTATATATATATATATTTCTTTTTCAAACCGTTTGGTGGATATCCTCACCGCGTCCTCGGCTGATATATGATTTGTTATGTGGTGATATTAGATTGGAGGCATTGCGTGTGGATGACGTGGCAGCCCTGGCGTTCGAAGCCTCGTTGGCGGCGTCTGGCACGGCCGACTTGCATGTGGATGGCCAGTCGTTTCCTCTGGCGCGGGACATGTGGAGTGCCAAGAGCGTCACCAAAACCTTCGCAGAGGAAAAGTTCGTTCCGAGTGTGATCGAGCCATCCTTCGGCGTCGGCCGCATCCTCACGGCCGTGTTTGAACACACATTTTACGCGCGCGAAGGTGATGACAAGCGCGGCGTGATGGCGTTCCCGGCAGTCATCGCGCCCATCAAGGTACATGAATATATATATATATATTTATGGATCGTATATATGTATATATATATATATATGTGTGTGTATCGCATAACATAGGTATATAGATGTATATATGTGGATCGAATTTCGTTTTATTTGTATTTGTCGAATAACATGTATAAATGTTTTGGAATAACATATATATATATATATATATGTGTGTGAATAACATAGGTATATAGATGTATATATGTGGATCGAATTTCGTTTTATTTGTATTTGTCGAATAACATGTATAAATATATAGTTTTGGAATAACATATATACTCCGGGGTAATTTTTTATTTATTACTCGTAAAACATATATATATACATATAATAATCGAATAACATATATATATATACTCAACGAAACATTTCAGGTGGCCGTGTTGCCGTTGAGCAATGCCAAGGAGTTTACGCCGATTGTCCAGGAACTGGAACGTCAATTGCGCACGGTACGTTTGTTTGCTGTGATCGTTTCTAGGTCAGGATGCAGTCGAGAGAAATGGCTCGACTTTGGATATAAATATATAAATATATATATATATATGTGTCGACATAATACTGTTGTATGTGTTGATTGTTTTATGTATGGTGTAGGGTGGTATCCAAGCCAAGAGCGACACGTCGGGCGTGGCGATTGGTCGAAAATACGCGCGCGCGGACGAACTCGGCATCCCATTGGGCGTGACAATCGACTTTGAAACGCTGGTGGATCATGCCGTGACTGTCCGCGAGCGCGACTCGTGCGCGCAGATCCGCGTGCCTGTGGCGGACGTGGTGGGGCACCTGCGGGCGGTGGTCGAAGGCCGGGCGACGTGGGAAACGCTCACGGCGACGTACCCCGTCTTGGACACGAAAAAGGAATAAACACATGGGTTTTAAATTGAATAGAATTGTCGATTCAATCAACGGACGAATCGTTGTTTATACATGGGTATATGATTTGTATTGGTTGGTTGGCATGTTCACAGCAGGAAAAAGGAGGACGCTATACGAATAAAAGAATGGTACAATATTATGCTAAAATCTTTGATTTTTTTCATTTACAGGATGTGGAGGAAATACTTATCGCGATTGGGCGTTTATAGAAAATTATTAGCCAATCAGAATTGGTCGATTATGTTTGCCCATGAACCATTGAAATAAATTGTATTATGCCACGGTCATCCGACAGTCAGCATTTATGTTAACGTAAACGACCAGTGTTTGGTGCATTTTCAATAGCCAATCATTTGGCTCGAAATATTGGCGGCAAAACCTGCATAAGATTATATGACTTCTTGACTGGCATCTTGAATTTGGCGCCGACATGGCACGATACAAGCGCCAAGAGCTGGACCGGGCGGTAGCTAAATTGACAAGTCCAAGGAGGACCGCCAAGCTGCGTCCATGCAAAAGGCGGCCCTACAGAAGAAACGCGGAAAACGTGGCAAAAATGGCAAGCGCATTACCTTGTCAAAGGTCGCCTTGAAGTGGGCAGCCATCGCTGCAACGTATGGATTGAAGCCCTTGCCTAGTGGTCAGATTAGATCCATTGATAATGGTGATAATGAAGTCGTTGTCTAATACCTCTTGATTTGGTTTGGCGCTTGTTTTCTTCTTGTCGTTCGTTCCTTGAAAAATCGGAAGTGCCGTTGAAGCTGGAAGGAATCCTATGATTCTATAACCTGCGCATATATAATATTTACCTCGCCATAATTAGTAACATAACCTCAAAATAAATATGCAATTCCTTTTACAGTTTTCAAATGAAAAAATCACACCTTAGACTGGTCCATGAAGTTTGACATATATTGCTTTGAAACTTGTAAAATAACATGTTAGATTCACCCGAAACTTGAATACTTCGATAGCCCTGATCCTCAGCTCTTTGGGACCAATCTTGGATTTTCAATCCGACACCTCTGAGCTTCAAAACTCGCAATTGACTCCGGCGCCAAAAAGGATACACCAAACACTGGTCGTTTACGTTACCGTAGTTTTGCTGTCAACGTTTTACTTGGAAGCAATAGAAAGTATACTACCATCATATCATGGGTCCAGTTACGCCCGGACAACGTTGGTACTCCTTGAACAACGCCGATATGACGCCGACGCCTTGGCCAGAGGCCTACTACAGTAATTTACTTTAGTAACTACATGTAACTCAGAGTTCTCCGTAAGCTTAGTACATTCTGTTAGTTCGAAATTTCTGAGAGCAGTTGATTAAATCGATCTGGACAAACCACGTTGCAAATCGATCTTCCTGCAAAACCAAATATGTTAATAACTACATACCAGAGTGGTTGTTGAGATCACAATCCGCTAAATGAATTCAGAGCACACACCCTTCATCGCATGAGTGCCTCAACAATCGCGTAGTCGGCATATCTCGAATCGAAGTAGTAAGTCTTCCCACATACAGTAGTAGATTAGGTCGAACAACTCACATTCAACTCGTGTAATACAACTCTAATACACGAGTTTTACAGTATTATAATTCTTTGTATTCGAGCTTGTAAGCTGTTAACGCATTCCTTCATAAACCCAAAGTATCCAATATGACATACTACTCACAGTGGCGGGCTCAGGTGTTACAAAATGGGATGTCCATTGACTCAGGTCAGGAAACTGCGTCATAATAGGGTGAGTAGGAACGATTGTTTTGTGAGAGAAATCCCACTTTTTGTCATTGGGGTCATTTCGCGGACATTCGGGGCGATTTAAGAACCGCCCATG